CCGGAGAGTTAGGTAATTTACCGAACGACCAAAAAGATTTCGGGTAATGAGCAGGTGTCCCAGAAATTATGATAATACAGTAGCTGTAATTCTGAATAATGAACGATAACTAAAACACCTATTTAATCACGAAATGAGGAAATATTGTTACGTTTAAATCGGCTAGCAATTTGAACGGTATATTTTGGACCCTTATTTGTGATAATTTTCAAATATCGGGTTATCTGCAAATTCCCCGAAAAAATTCTATTTTTACAAGCATAAGAAAATTACTATTACGATTAGCCTCAATATAGTCACTATCATCTTAGCCACGTTGAATTTTGGTTACCACCCTGATGATTATATCGAGGTTAGACTGTATAAAAATACAAATAATAATGTTAGTATAAACTATTTTTTCTTTAAATTTTATTATATAAATCTACAAATTATTCTGTATTTTATACATTAGTATATTAAAAGAAAACCAAAATCTCTCTAAAGTTTTTTTTAACTATCAGAAGTCTATAAATAGCAACATTTATTGATTTATAATTTAGTAATACATAAATTCTAAATAAAAAAATGTCTATCGTTATACTTATTGTTACATTAATCAAGCATCAGACATATCTATATCCGGAACTGCATTTAATTTTTTTAAAAGTTCAATTGCTTTAGAATAATTTTTCAAAGCAGCTAATCTGGCATAATGCTTAGCCTTTTCCCTATCAATTGGTTCGCTGTATAATCCCTCCATATAAATCATTCCCAAATTATAAAGGGCAATTTCATTTCCATTATCAGCAGACATTTTAATATATTTAATTATTTCAGAATATTCCAGTGATTTATTTTCTATCAAGGTAAACGCATATCGAAGTTGAGCTTCAGGGACACAATTATCAGCAGCTTCTTTGAAAAGTTTAAGGGCAGCATTCGTATCTTTATTAACGTAATATCCACTTAACAAGTAATATCCTTTCCAATACTTTGCAAGATTATTTCCACAATCAGCAAGACCAGAAAAACATTCCCAAGCAACTTCATAGTTCTTTTCTCGATGAGCTTTATATCCCATTTCAAAAGGAATTAAAGTTTTAATAACAGGAATATTGTCCAAAGATAACCTCTTACAATCCTCTGGAAATTTTCTAGTATCGCATTTATTTTTATTTCCTTCTAGATTATAGATTGGGATATTGTTGTCGCTAATATTTTTAGGAAGTATCATGGGAGAAGCTCCTTTAGGAACGTATTTTTCATAAGCTTCTTGAAGAGTTGTTAGCACATTCATGACTTTTGGACGCTCAGAAGGATTATGTTGCCAAGCTTAAATAGTAAAAATCCAGTGATTAGATGAAATGCAAATGATTGATTCTAATACAAAAAATAGATTCACGAGAATTACCCTGCTTAATAATTTTAAAAAGTTCTTGGGCGATTGGACTTGGATCAAGCAACATTTTTTCTCGCTTTTTGTTTCTGACAAGTTGTTCAATGTCGGGTACGGAATTAATATTTTCATAAGGAATTCGTTGGTGACAGAGTTCCCATAGAAGCATCCCAAAACTTAATCACAGAACAATGAGATCATTTTGAAACGCGCAATCGTTTTTTTTAAATATTTAAAATGCATACCTGTACATTTCACACTGATGATCATATTGAACGGCAAAGCTATATTTTGAATCACTTATTTTTTCAGGAGCCAGCCATCGAATAATGTTCAATATATTCTCTATTTTCACAGATATTTCTTTCTCGTCTCTACTAAGCCAAAAATTCGAAATTTTTGGCTCATAACTTTCGGTAATCTTGTTAAAATAAAGGCTGCTATTTTAGTAAAAAATAATCTTGCAGTAGCCAATAAAAATCCGATGATTTAATTTCTTAAAGCCTCAGATTTCTATTGATGGTTGCAATTTAAATTAAAAATGAGTTTTTACATACTAATATATTTTCACAGCGAATATCATGATGTAAAATATTGCATTGATGTATAAATAGAAGACCATTGCATATATCACGAGCAATTTTAAGTTTAGTGCACCAATCAATTGAATTCGCTGTATACAACTTTCTCAGATTACCATTTAATGCCCAATCAAAAACCATAACAGGGCTATTATCTATTTTTGAATGACCATGAAAGCCAATAATATATGGGCAAGTTCCCAATCTACGTAAGATAGCAAACTCAGCACAAGATTTTATATCATTTTTCTCAACAAGAATCTTTTTACAAGCGACTTTGACTCCCCGATAATTTCTTTGGAGTATAGTTTTTCCGGAATCATTTTCTGATGGAACTGGAGCAAGTTCTCGTGGATTTATTTCGGGCTCTCTATAGGCCTCTATTAATGTGGGATCAACAAAGGTAGTTTTCTTCATAAGTTGATCAAATTTTTCGGATAATTGAGCCAATTCTTTCTTCAATTCTTTCTTATGTTCACTAAAAGAATCATTCATATTCTAATCTCACAAGTTCAAAAATTTTAAAGATTAATTAAATATGCAATGTGCAAAAAAATAGTGATAGATCATGATTATACCTTAGTTAAGGCATTAATATCCTCCATAATTCTTTTATTTTCTAAATCCTTTTTATTTATATCATAAATAGCCAAAGTGAAATTTAAATCTCTGCATACTTCTTCAAATTCTTTAATATTTTTATCAAATGCTTCTTTAACGGCGTTTGCAGTCAAAAACTTTTGCAGGTTTGATAATTGAGTGACTTCTTTCACAAATTTATTTATATTTTCTAAAACAACTATAAATCTAACCCATGCATTATAATAGTCTTGTTTTTCAAAAAGTTCTTCATTTTCCATTTGTTGTCTTTCTAAAGATTTAACTGCTTGCTGAGCGATTTCAACACGATCAATTAAAGCTAAACAAATTTTTTGATTACATTTTCCATTTTTATAAGCTTTCATTATTGAGTCTACAATAGTTGTAACAGATTGAAAAAATTGAAGAAATGGTTGAGCTGCCTCTCCAACTACTTGAAAACCATCAGCAATATTATCAACTGTGCTATTGTTTACTTCATATTCGCCACCTAAATGTACATTATTATCGTCTATCTTTCTTTTTTTTTTGTTTTCATCAGATTTCATTGAACATTCTTCTTGAGACATTGTTTTATCTTCAAATATTTTATCTTCAATATTTTGTCCTTGACTATATATATGAAGTTTTTATAAGTTTTTTGTCCGGACTAAGACGGAGTGTATTTCCTTCACAAATCCGTTTTTAATTGTATCCATTAATTTGTACAACCAGACATCATGTATGCTCAATGCTATTTGTGCAGATACCGATAACTAAATTGGGAAGTTTGAATCAGCTTTTTTTTTGGTCCTAACAAAATTTAAGTGCATACGTTTGACACCGGGGTGGTCGGTCATCTAATAGAATCAAACATATTCCTAGTCTCATTATACCGCGGTCTTTATATTAAAATATTAGTAAAATACTTTTGGATACTTAACGCTCAATAATAAATGCTGCATTCTTAGCTAAGTTATTTTTTCGATTTTACATACCATAGTAAATTTTCAATTAAAAAATATATTCTAATTGAAATATATAAAATCTAATATAAATTTTTTAAACCTTATACAAATTGGGAAACCTGTATATAAAGTACAAATATTTTAACATAGCTTTGAATAAGAAATGCTAAGACTTCTTTTACCAAGTTTGGCGTCAATTCATCGCGCGATTAAGGCTGAATAACAATTTAAATCTTTTAGAATGCGTTTGCGGTCTCGCTTCTATTATCATAATTTCTGGGACACCTGCTTATTACCCGAAATCTTTTTGGTCATTCGGTAAATTACCTAACTTTCCGGAAATTACATCACTGCCTCCGGACTGAAGGTCCGAAGACAGCGATGTAGTTTCCGGAAAGTTAGGTAATTTACCGAATGACCAAAAAGATTTCGGGTAATAAGGTGTCCTAGAAATTATAGCTGTAATTAGAGTTCCAATTCGGATAAATCCGTCATCCATTTATCCGTATCTGAGTTATCCGGATAATCCATATCGGATAACAGACCAGAATATCCAGACAATCCGATAATCCGATAGATATTCGGATAATTATTTGAATATCAATAGTAAATGGATTCCGATAAATTTGGATCAGATACTTCGGATAACGGATTACAGATATCTAATGGATAAATGAGTAAATAGATAATGGATAGGAACACTAGTTTTAATAACCGGGTGAGTTTTTTAAATTTTTTTTTTTTAAAAAAAAAGCCAGATGGCCGGGTCTATTTAAGAAGTTCCATGTTACAAGAACCAATAAATTAAATTTGTGTGGTCTAATAAAAATTTTTTTTTGGGTTTGGGTCTTGTAGTTTATTGGTTAAGCTCCCAAACTCCCACAGACACAGTGTTGGACATTTTGGGTCATACTTAACTTTATATGATTAAGGTGGTCATAATGTAATAGTAAATTTTATAAGTCATAACAGGTTATAAGGTCATAACCTATAGTTGACCAATAGGCCAAAACAGGTCATAGGCCAACACTGCACAGACAAGATCAATGGTTCAAGTCAGGCCAGAGGCAAATTTTTGAATTTGTTTTTGTAATCAAAGTGGGGTCATAATTGGATGCAAAGCTTTGTGGAAAGTTTATATGCAAGTACAAATTTGAAAAAAAGAAATTTTTGAAAAGAGGCCTAATTATAGAGTGTAGATATTACATTTACAGTGGTGTTATAGAATGTTTTAGCTACATGAAGATTGTGCAAATAAGTTCTAGTTTACACTAAGCTAGGCAACACTAACATCTTTACATTACTAGTTAAAGTTGCACTAATATCTCTGCACCCAACTTGTAGAATACTTGCTTGGAAAAATAATTATCAGATTGCATATACATATAAGTTCTAAACAGGAAAGTTGATAAAGAATTTGCTTGGAAGGATAATATAATTATTGTTCAGAGCAAAGTGGAGGACTTATATGTTTATACACTTTGATGACTGAATTACAATTTTGATACATCAATAATAATAATATCAAAAAAGTAGGGATGTTCTATAGAATAGGTGGGCAATATAAGAAATAAGCTTTGCTAATAATCAGTAATCATTAATTTTTTAATATCAGAGTTGCAAAGTTGGCAAAGTTTGCCCACCTATTTTATAGGACATCTAAAAGTAGTTTCAGTATTTTTCATTTGTACCGCCCTGAAAATTTTGATCTGTAATATATATGACCAGATTTTTTAGGGGTTAGAGCCATTAGTTAAATACTGTTATAGGCTTCAGACTTATACTGGTTTTTAGTTCCTAGTAACTAGAACTAAAGTAGTAAGAAATGCAGTGAACATGAGAATAGCTTGTAGTAAAGGATTGGCTTTATCAAATTTGAAAACAATATATAATTGTTATAAGATGAAATTATTATTATAAAGATTTGTAATCTAGCCTTGTATATATAAAAGACAAAAATCAAAAGCATAGTAATATCTATATAGAAGTTTATGATGCAAAAAACCAGGACCAACCAGCATAAATACAATACTAACATACCTATACTGAAAGTTTTAAGCTACTAATATAATCTGTCATTAGCTAATAAAGAAGAATTTTTAAAATATAGTTCTAATAAATATTATAAAAAGAAGTACTAAAAGAATATAATCTACTAAGCACAAACTAGTAACATTAATACTATATTCTGACACATAACAAACTTCAGAAATAATATTAAAATTTAGATATTATTTAGATTGTAACAGTGCATTAACTAGTATAAATCAAACTATCTATAAGAAATTTATATTCAATTAATTACTGTAGCAGATTAAAATGAAATTCAGATTAAAATAAAATAATAATATAAAATCTTGAAAAATAAATTTTTTAGTATGTATTTTTTAGAGTTAGAGATTAGAATTAGAAGTTAGAATTAGAGTAAAATATATTAAACAAGTATAAGTAGTTTTAGAAGGTTAGAAGGTTGAATAGAAAATATAAATTTCATTTTAAATTATGATCTGTAACAATTACTAGTAGTATAGCAATTTGTAAATCTTTTGACAAAGATAACTCTAAAAATAGATAAAAGAGCAAAAAGATGAAAAAGAAAAAAAAAGAAGAAAGAAAAAAAAAAAGTGAAAAAAAAGATAAAAAATAAAAAATAAAAAAATAAAGTAAAAAAAAAGATAAAATAATAAAGAAAAAAAAGATAAAGAAAAAGATAAAGTGAAAGTGAAAACAAGAATGAAAGTAAAAACAAAAACAAGAGCAAAGCAAAAACAAAAGCAAAAGCAAAAGTAAAAACAAAAGTAGGAGAAAAGCAAAAGCAAAAGCAAAAGCAAAAATAAAAGCAAAAATAAAAATAAAAGCAAAAGCAAAAGCAAAAGCTAAAGCAAAAGTAAAAGTAAAAGCAAAACAAAAACAAAAACAAAAACAAAAGCAAAAGCAAAGCCAAAGTGAAAAGTAAAAGCAAAAAAGCAAAAGCAAAAATAAAATAAATAATGATAATCATTGTTTATCTATCTTGAATACAATTGGTTATCATATAAAATCTCTATAGTGACAGATCACTATTGTATTTTTGCTATTATTAAAATATATAAAATTTTTTTTTAAAATATAAATTAATTAAATTATAAAAATTAAATAATTAGTTTTGTATAGTTTTGTTATTAACTTTTTTTGCTTTTTTTAAGCTTAAACCAAATATTATACTTGCAACTATTAATTTTAAAAATAAAAAAATAAAAAATAATTAATTCTAACAGTATTAATACAAATAAACAGATAAAATAATTTATTTATTATTAATAAATTTTCTAATTCATACTGCTTTAAAAATATAAATTAAAAAAAGCTTAATATTATACCTAAAATAGCTAATTATAAGATAATTTTTTATAAATAGTATATAAGTACATTTTTATAGCAATTTAAACCTTTATAATACAACTGTTTATATTTTTTTTATATATAACATCTTATTTTTATCGTTTTTTTCCTAAAATAGGCTACCTTTTTTTGGCAATTTTGAGCTTAAAAAATTAAAGGTAACTTATTTTCAAGTATAATAGGTTTTAAGAATTTTAATTAATTACTATTAATTATTATATATATATATTTATATATAGCAACTAATAGTAATTATATTT